AAGAGAGAAAGGAGCAGGAAACAATGAAGTCTCCAGGTCTCATATAGCAAATTAGTCAAAACCGAACTCTTTCTAAACTTCAGATTTGACATGTGCATATTGGAGAGTGTGTATCGCAGGAGGTGGCTGTCCAGCAGATCCAATGTACTCGAGGATGCCATTCTAAGGCAAAAATCGTTCGCCCTTGAGTTTCAGTCACCTCGAAAATTCCACGATGGATTGTGAAAACTGTTCAACACAGACATATATCTTGGTTCGCCAGTCTTGTCAGTGCGCCACCTTGGGTCTTCTATCCTACCAGGTTGTTGCTCAGCACGCCGAGGCAGAACTCTCTGCTTGTGATCTACGCGTCTGTAAAGCTCAGTACTAACTGTGACAATCGTGACGTTCATGGGCTTTGGGTATAAAGGCGACAGACGGAGTCTGGCATGCGTCACGATGGTCTCATTTGGTCAAGTTGTGCTCAGATAAGCCTGACTCGGGCTACATCAGGTATGTTCAAAGGACCTCTCTGATTACATGACAAGACCCTATCATAGAGGAATAGAGGAACGGCTTCCAACCGATATGTACAGGTTACCTCATCATCACGATCGGCCGGACACTGTCGGTGCGCAAAGCATCATCTCATGGTGTTCAGGAAGCCTCATGAATTGGTCAATCAGAATGTCAAAGCCATTTTCAGACGCCGAACCCTATGCAGTAACCTGAACCAACCCATATTTCCCCTTTGGTGCCGTATCGGATATCATAACTCTTGTCTTGGAAGAAAAGCACATTTACTCCTCATCCTCCTCCTCGTCCTCCTCGACGACGGTCTGGGCAATACGGTCCAGATCACGCTGGCCGGACTGAGTGATGCGGCGGCCACCCTTCTCCTCGTCCTGCTCAAGGACACCGATCTTCTCAAGGGACTGGAAGATCTTGCGGTCAACGCTGCCAGAGGCATCGACGTCTGGAAGTATTTGATTAGCATGCAGTTCCTTCAATGACCAAAGAGGCCTTGTACTCTGGGAAACTTACGGTGGCTGGGGCGGACACCACGGTTCTTGGCGGTACCGTGGACGCGGCGGAGACGGCCAACACCGACGGTCTTGCGGAGGTAGACGTGGCGGGCGACAGAGGCGGCGCGGACGTAGTACCAGTCAACGTTCTGGGGAGGAAGCTCGCGGGAAGGACCGGTCTTGACAGTGTCGACCCAACCTAGTCAGAGCCAAGTCAGCATACCATATCGTCGATGATTGCGCAGATTGACGAGGCTGTAGATGCATATAGAAGCATCGTCGCCAAAGTTAACAAAGAAGTTTGCTACTTACCGGGGATGGGCAGCTTGCCCTGACGCTTCAAGAAGCTGGCGTAAGCCTCGATGAACTTCTGAGCCTGCAGTCACAAACCACATATCAGCATGATTCCGTCACAAGAGTCTTTCGACCCCTCGCGCCTGCTCCATATGTATCTTCTTTGCGATGACCCATTTCGAGGTCGCCCAAGTATTGTGCTTTGGTATATTTATCGCTCGATCTTTTTTGATCTCTTTGGAGGCCGGCTCTCAGGGGTCGATGGAGAGTCTGATGATGGCACCTACATCGACATCGCGGACAGAAATGCCTCCAGTCATTTTGGCGGTATTGGGTTGGTTGGTTGACGTGGGGAAAATGACTGTGGTTTGCTGGGCTGGGCGTTGGGCGTGTGGTGTTCAGAGGATCGAGGCCAGGCTCAAGTTCGCAGATGGTACTATCTTGGAGATTTTCAGTGGATGCGATTTGCTTGGCTTGAGGGTTTTCGTGCCCTCAGAAATTTCGTGGGGCTCGAGGGCGGTGCACGGATCTTTTTAGCCACAATTTGCTTATCTTATCGAGCGGTCCACTCTTTAGACCATACACCATACCTAGACATGGAGTGCTTTCATAGTCCAAGGATGAGAACATTGAAGCGCTGCACGCCATTGAATAGAGTACGTATCCTAGAGTTTATGTAACTACAAATAATGAAATCTTGCTTGGGAATGAAGAGAAACCATTGACCGAAAAATCTAATCCATGAGGTCTGGAAGCAAATCTTGTTTAGAGAAGATTTCATTCAAAAGACTTTCGGGGTCATTCCCTCGAGGAATGTTTCTCACCCGAGGCACTTGTATAGAGTATTATAATGCTACCAACCAATCCCCTCTATTGCTCATAAAGTTGTATCGGAAATATGTGGTACCTGGATGGAGCGAGGTAAACTTGAATGATCTTCATATGCGATGCTCATTGGATATCCCGAGTGAATCGAAGAAGTGTTTAGGATGGAAGAGAAGCAGCCAGAATGGCATGCCATGAATCTGGTGACCATTGTTACTCCAACCGCCTCACTAGATTACAGATGATATACAATCAGCTATATTCCAATACTCGGTGACACAGCTACTCAGAGAAAGGCAAGCAAACAATCTGAATATTTGTCGCATCGTCGCACTTATTGCTATATGTCGATGCTATATAACAGATTAACTACCAGTGTGCATAGTGGACCTAAGTATTGGCGGACCTCACGCTCGCACATCAAACAGGCGGCACGAATTCATCAGTTCATCCCGCCGAGTATGTCGTTTCTGATCTTATTAGGGAGTTTGAAACATAGTAACAAAAACATTTACTCAAGGACAAAATCGACGATCGCATCCGGGTCAAAGCTGAAGTGTATACAGTGCAGTAGTGGAGTCTCGCGAATCCTTGTGTCCTACCATGATAACTGTTGTTAGTTTGGTGTCTTTCAACAACCAATCAGCAAACCCAACCGGGCGAGGTGTCATAGTATAGTGGTCAGTACATCACGTTGTGGAGTGATTAATCACCCACGACCACGGGCACTTCCGTGAAGACCCCGGTTCGATTCCGGGTGACGCCAATTCTTTTTTCCTTCTTTTCGGCCTGGGCATGCATGCATCTTGAGTTGAAGACAATTAGTATAACGCTGCTATATGCTTGTGGTTTTTTGCTCATTCTTGCATTTCCTTGTTTATTATTCCCTCGCGCCATGCTATAATACAATCTTTCGTTAAATTTACTTTTAAAATAATAATGCATCCGATATGCGCATGCGACATTTTTCTAAGACCAAACAGTGGTTGACGACGACAGGCAGCATATTAAGTGGTTTACTCTCGCCGAGTACCGTGCCCTGAGCACTGAACGGTGTCCTTGGTCGGAGTACTTATGGAATGTTATCAAGGTTGTCAAATTACTCCCTAGCTTACCAATTTTATCACTGGCCTGCAAAAATCAACTTGCTCGGAGAACGGCTCTGTCATCCTCTTCTCTATCAAAGTAAACCTCTCGTATCGGAGCAAGAAAGTCGTGGATCGCCGTATTCTCCATTGTCGTAGCTCCGAGCTCGATTGCAAATCCCGTTTCGCCTATGTTCGGCACTAATGCCAGGTCCCAGGGAAAAGGAGATTTGCCGCTAATTTCTAGCGCTGTGATACGCCGCGTGCACATCGCCAAGAAACATTCCACTCAAGAGCCCCGGACGAGCCCACGTGCGCACAGTCAAAGTATACCTTGCGCATAGTAACACTGACCCCCGGGCATGGTGGTAGTAAGCACGTGGACAACAGCAGTACGGTTGCATCGTTCGCAGTCAACAGCACCCTGGTGATGGCGTTCAATAGCATTGAATGGCAGATTAACTGCTAGTCATCATGGGGGGTCGTGGGTTGCGGTATAAGTATTGCCGCAACCCTTGCGAATGAAAATATGTGGTCAGCTTGAGTGAACGTCCGAATAGGTCGCGTGCACATCTTTGGAGCAGATTTGTAGCAATGGCGTCGAAACTCTCTGTCGTCGCCGGACTGGCGTCGTTGATTGCTTGCTCGTGAGTGGGCGACTTTTCATCATCATGCCATTTCGGGACATCTAGAAAACTAACAGCTATGCAGACAGGCAGCCTGTGCCAGTAATTGCGACTCTGTTGAGGCGGGATACCAGTGCAGCCCAGAGATATCGCAGAATTGGGGCCAGTATTCGCCTTATTTCACAGTGCCTTCGGAGATAGATGCCAGCATCCCCGAGACTTGTGAGATCACATTCGTGCAGATGCTGTCTCGTCACGGCGCACGCGATCCAACAGCCAGCAAAACGGCAAAGTACAATGCCACCATCCAGGCGATACAGTCATCGACAACGTCGTATGGTGCTGGTTATGAGTTTATTGCAGACTACGAATACACATTGGGAGCTGACCAGCTCACTACCTTTGGCCAGCAAGAGCTCGTCAATGCTGGCATGAAGTTCTTCCAAAGATATGAACAAATGACCCGCGATACAACACCTTGGTTCCGGTCGTCTGGAGAGGAGAGAGTAGTTGAATCGGCTTTGAACTGGACGCAAGGATTTCACCAAGCACGCTTGGCTTCCGGCGGCAGCAGCTCAGACGGTTACCCTTGGGATATCCTGACCATCTCCGAGGACGAGGGTGTCAATAACACGCTTAGTCACAGCCTGTGCACTGCCTTTGAGGATGGCCCGGATAGTGAGATCAAGGATGATGCTCGAGCAAGCTGGACGGCCGTGTTCCTGCCCAACATCACGGCACGTCTGAATGCAAACCTGGTCGGGGCAAATATCACAGCCGATCAGACCATCTATATCATGGACCTCTGCCCCTTCAATACAGTGGCCAACTCGGCAGGAAACATCTCCGAGTGGTGCTCGCTCTTCACTACCGAGGAGTGGGAGCAGTACGGCTACTACAACACCCTTGACAAGTACTACGGCTATGGCTACGGCAACCCTCTCGGCCCTACTCAGGGCGTCGGCTTCACCAACGAGCTGATTGCGCGACTGACCAACACCAGCGTGCAAGATCACACGAGCACCAACACAACCTTGGACAGCTCCTCTGCCACCTTTCCGCTGGGACTGCCCCTGTACGCCGACTTCTCGCACGACAATGACATGACGACCATCTTTAGCGCCATGGGCCTCTACAACGCCACAGCGGCGCTGTCCAACGTCACGGTCGAGACGACGGCCGAGACCAACGGCTTCAGCGCCAGCTGGCTCGTGCCGTTTGCCGCCAGAATGTACGTCGAAAAGATGACCTGCGCCGGCGTCGATGAGGAGCTTGTCCGCGTCCTGGTCAATGACCGGGTCATCCCGCTCGAGACTTGCGGTGCTGACGAGCTGGGCCGCTGCGGGCTCGATGCATTTGTCTCCAGCCTGACCTTTGCGCAGAGTGGCGGGTTCTGGGATCAATGTTTTGTATAAAAAAAATCAGATCACGTAGGACATGTGCTATTCACGCAAAAGTTTATAATCAATCTTTGAAGATTCTTCTATTTAATATAAAGTCGGAGCGTCCGCTGCTCTATATATCATTGCATACACTCCAGCCGTAAAGGTCACCACTTCAAACCAATCAAGATTATCTCTTGGCGTCCTCGGTTGATCCGGTCGTATAAGCCGCGTCAAATGGTCGTTGGATGAGAGCATGTAAAGGCCTTTTTTGATCATCAGGCGTTCTTTGCATGGCGTGTCCCTGGCGAGAAAAGAATGAGAACGAGGCTGCTTTTCGGTTGTCGACTTAACGGCTTCCCAATCTTGATCCCAGTCTTGATAATGAGATGTGGCTGAAATAATCTCTGTTCCCTGCTCCTTGCTTGGTGCGGGATAATAATTTGCAAAACGTTGCAAGAGTTGTGAGTTTGGTGTTGTGGGTATACTGATTGAATGAAAACCGTTCCCCGAATAGGACTCCGAGCTACGCCATGCTGATCGTGTTCGTCGAAAGTGGTCGTGAAAAAATCGCGGGCGCTGGCTTATGCCTTTCCAGCCTCGGCAGCCCTCTTCTGCGCCAGACCGCCCAGCTTTTCGGCAGCGGCCATCAAGGCCCGCGGGTCAGCGCCCTGGACCTTGGCCTGGCCGTGGACAGCGACCTGCTTGCCCTCCTTGAAGAACATGAACGTGGGCATGGCGGTGATGCCGTAGGCGCGGGCAACGTCCTGTGCATGGTCCACATTCACCTTGGCAAAGGCCAGCTGGCCGGGGACGCTGTGCTGCTCGGCCAGCTTTTGCCATATGGGCGCGATCTGCTTGCACGGCGGGCACCAGTCGGCGAAGAAGTCGACGGCGACATATGTGGTGCTGGAAAAGAGGGCCTGCAGCTCGGGCAGCGATGAGGGGTGCTTGACCTTGTCCGCCATTTTCTCTCCCTTTTTCTCTGTCCCGCCTATAAACTGCTGTGTTTGAATGCTATTTTCTGATCACGTCGGGTAGGATTTTCTTCTGGGAAAGAAGAGGATAGAATTTTGTGAGTACGCGTCGAGAGTCTGCGGCTCGAGATATGTAAGTGTTTGATTTACGACTACGAAATATAAAAATTGAGTGGAGAGATTTGACTCCAAATAACCTCTCTGGGGGGTAATTCGATGACTGACGATGAATTTCGCAAAAGCTGACTAAAGGAAACACTATGCCCAATGTGGCGGTGCTGGTTCGTGATGACAATGGAATGTGGCGCAACTGCCAGGACAATCTAGGTCGTTCCAGGTAGTGATGAATGCTTACTTTTCATTTTGGAATTCCAAATCTTCTCGTATCCTGCTCAGAATCCTGATTTTCTGAATAAATTTGATGAAAAGAACTGCCTCCCCTTCCGAGTGGTAGCATGGCCAAATAGCATGTACTTGAGCTAAAGCTAAGCACCTAGGTTAGGTGCCATATAGCAATGGCTGTCAAAAGTGTGTTCCATATTGAGCTTACAGCTGCGATTCGCCAGTTGACAAGCTGTAAATGTCAAATACATGTGGGAGTCCTGGGCAAAGTCTTGAGACTATCCGCGAATTCCAAAGTAATCTGAAGGACTTTTGGACCCAACATGGTAATGTAGAGGAACAGAGGAGGGGCAGGTTGATGACATTCGTCACACTAGTGAAAACACCACCAATCAACGATAGCTTCTTCTGTATGTTCCACATCATGGCATTTTGACACACATGGCTTCAGACGACTGCCAAATAGCCATGAGCTTTTGATCATCTTCACTAATCATGCTATTGTGTCTTCAAATATCCATTGACTTGGCAGTATCTCTAATTTTTGGCTATTGGCAGTGAAGCCATCATCATGAGCAACATTGCGGTTATCCGGCAAGTGTCTAGTTTCTCGTCGAGTTTGATGCTTGAAGATGAAGCGCTTCAGGGTCACGCGACAGGCATAGATGTGTGCACCCATCATGCATACTGACGGCTGTTGCCGAATAGCCTCATCGCTCCAGCAATCCTCTCGAGTGGTTCATCACGACACAGGGCCTTGCATGTTTCTCAGTCCCGCCCTTGACAGCAGCCACTTACACCAAGCCAAGTAGAAGCCAAGCCAACCCGGCAATCGAGGAAGCCGTCCCCAGCATGCTACGTTGCTAGCTTATACAAAAGCTTGACTGGGTTTCGAGACCCGGAATTTCTCTTCCCTTCTGTGCAGACGACTTTTTGTTCACGAGACGCCCAGAGGGGACAAGACAAGCCTCGATTTCCAGGAGGATGTACGCCAAGAAGTGAGCTGCTTCAACCATAGGCAAAGGCCTGTTGAGCCTGTGCGGTTCATATCTGCGGGAGATCTCGAGACGCCCGTGAGCTGCACTGGGTTTCTGCCGTATTTCCGAAAAGATCGTAACCCCCTTTGGAGGTTCCTCTAGGCCCATGGAACATGCTAATCGCCTTTTCGGCAATTTTTGAGAACAACTTTGCTGGATTTCTAGTAACAGTCTTGTTCAGGATCGACCACCCCTGGCGCCTGGCACCGTGCACCCACATTGAAAATCTGCCTTGGGAAGTGACAGGGTCCTCGACGCTAAACTGCAAGTCGAAACCTGCCCCTTGGGGCCACGGTTTATACGAGTCTCAGTGCTAATCCACCTGACTTTCTAGCGCACCGATTCTATGCTACCTTGACCTTTCTGACCTTGAGCCTTCTTGTTTACATGCACTTTTTCCCTCCTGACATTCGATTTTGCTTCAAATTTCAATCTGTCATCTCTCATCGCAAGTCCGACCATGAAGCACTCGTGAGGGGGATTGAGCTCAGGCCATGTGTTCAGAGTCAAGAGAACTCTCGATCTGCCCGGGTTTGGAGAAGAGGAAGATCACGTGTCTTCATTCGCCTGGGTTTGGTAGCTGCTGTTACTTGTAGGAGGAGGAGGTATTGACTTCCATTGTTTCTTCGGAACTTACGCCGTGCTCGAAATGGACAAACTTGTATGATGTTCCGGATCCACGGCCGACAAGAAGTAAACACTGCTTGATTCTCATCGACTACTGGCCCTCTATTCAGCACGGTAACTTATACATTGTATTATACAATGGTGCCGAATCCATGGAGAAGGAGGCTCTTTCTGTTGGAGTGTTCGACAGCAGCAGGGGCCAGGTTTCCAGCAATCAGACCTGGGGTCAAGACAGGGGCACTGCCGGTATAGCGCCGCTTGCTGCCGACCTGCAGCGATGAAACCCTTGGCCCGCCCACTAACCCCGGCGCTGAGACAATTGACCCTGGTCAGATCTGTCTCATGCTCGACGACATGTCATGCAAGACACGCAAAAGTCGCAGGCTGTGGACGGACTGAACGACTTCACCACGTACCACCGAGCCCCAAAGCCGACGCCGCGCAGCACAACCAGCACTGCCAGCACCGCCAATCTATTCCACAGTGGCACGCACTCCCTCTTCTTCCAAGTCTTCGATGGATTGACCGCTGGCTTCCCTGGAACTGGGTAGTGAACCCTTGCTGCACCACTCGGACCCTCATCTAAGTCACACCTCTCGCGGGGCAGATCTCCAACGGCGCTACCTAATATGCCTAGTGTATAGAGTGGTCCAACGCTCAATTCAGGACGGACCCATCTGGACGAGAGCCGCAAGTATCTCTGTTGTCGCCGGGAGCCAGCGCGGCGTAAGAAATCTCGTGCCTTCTACCAATGTCCTGTGGACTTTCCTCAAGTCATGATGAGGCATCTTGTTGCCCGTCTCTCCTCCAAGAATAACAACAAACCTCTCTGGAACAAATGACATTGGACGAACTAGACTATTCTATACAGTTAATGGTAAACGCATTGCTAGACGTCCAACACCAGGAACAAAGCCGAGGAGAACATGGATCTTTCTGAATATCGTGGCATGCAAAGAACCCCCCCGGTCCCAGCTTGCCTCGGAGGCATTGCTACACAGACTTCTTGGGAAGGTGGCTCTCGAGGTGCACGGTCTTGAAGTCAAGGCCTGGCCCCTTGTTGCAGACTGCGTAGGTTGATTTCATGCTCTCCAAGCTTCCGGCCGGGGAATTGGCAGAGATCATTACCACTTCTGATACTCGGTCCCCTACCCTCTTTTCTCCCACTTCCCTTCTTCTCCCACACCCTTACTCATCCTTTTCGTTCAGTTCTTCCAAGGCAGGCCCTCATTGTTCTGCTTTTCTCTCAATCCACATTAAACTCTGGGCTGGTCTCAATTCTGCAACAGTACTCCTATTCGGCCCGCCTTTACACAGGTTTTACGGTTTTCTCTACTTTTTAATATTATACGCAGGCGTTTAAGATCAACGACTATCAGCTTTCGGTCATGTTTAGGAATCACTAGGCGGCAACTACAATTACAGCGTTGCGGCGCATGTGGCCACGGCATGATTGAGGGTGAAGAAATGGCACCATCCAAACCTAGGCGAGCGGTTCTGGATCGTGGGTCGGACGTGAAAGCGGAAGTTCTCTCGGCGGCAACTCTGAAAGATCGCAACGATAAAGGTCAGCAAAATGACGACTCATCTGGCATCAAGAAATCTCGCGACGGTGGCAGCGATGACAGCGACAAGGGTAGCGATGGCAAGGGCAAGGGCAACGGAGGAGGCAATGGGGGCAGTGACAAGAATAAGGGCAACAACAAGAGCCAAGATGATGGCAGCAAAGACAGCAACAAGGATGGAGGCGGCAGTAATAACGACCACAGCGGCAGTAAAGACGGCGGCAGCAATAACAATAATAATAACAACAAGGGTAGCGGGGACGAGTCAACGACGATTAGTGTCGTGACGGCCACCATTGCCACAGAAGTTCCTGCGGCTGCACCCCCGGCGACGACGCCTACTACCACGCCGACGCCGCTGCCCAGCCCACCTCCGACCACTTCAACCACATCGACCACATCAGTTCCCACCCCAGTCGCGTCAGTCGTCCAATCGACAAGTATAGTGACCTCGGTACAGATGGCAACTATGACCACTGTCATTCCTGTTTTGACTACCTTGCCCCCTATCACAATATCCAGTCAACCTAGGAAAGGTGTAGATGGGCCAGGGGCAGACTTTACACCCGCTCTTCCCGCTTTGGGAACATCGTCATCACTTGGTACAATCGCCTTTACTGCTACAGACGCCACCGCTACTGTCACCGCCACTGCTCTCGCGGACTCTCTCAACGATAACGACAACGGCGGCAATAATGACTCTGGCGGAAGTCGCAACGGAGGGAAGGACCGAGACGACAACAAGCCCCCACCCGGTGCGCTGGATCCCGCAGCAGAGCATGCCCTCATTGCTGTCGGATCAATTGGTAAGCATGACAGTCTGTGTATGACGATGAGAATGCGACTAACCCGTCATAGGCGCTTTTGTCTTGATTTGCTTTGTTGGCTGGATCATCTACCGCACCCTGAAAAAGTCAAGGCGTCGACGTGAGGAGTTTGGTGGAAACAACAACTTGATGAATAGACTGCCTTGGCGTAGGAATCAGGGCAACTCGGGTTGGGACAGCCAAAGCATGTTCATGAGGAATGATTTACCTCCGCCAATGTACGAAAAGGGGAGCCACAATTCCATGGAGGCGGCCGGATTCTATGGCGCCGACAAGATGTATCAGCAATCGAATCAGCCTCCGAGGCTGAGCCGCACGAATACGGCGACCTCACAGCGGAACATGCAGCCTCAATTGGCCCCCGGATCAGTCGTCATGATTCCTGCAGAGCAGTACATGGCAATGAGTCAAGCACAATCGCCCATTGGCAGCGACGTAAATAACACCATGAGGTCACGGATGCCGGACAACTTCTACAATCAGTCGGAGCTAGCCCGCCAACCATCTGACGCCTACGATCCGAACCGACGACAAGTAAACAGAGCAAGTGAACTCTCTTCTCTGTCGTCGGGCTTCGGAGACGGCGATATAATTATACCCGAGGAGTACCTCAACCCACCCCAGCCTGCTGCAACACAATTACGGCAGTCAAACAACTTCATCACTCGCTTTTCGTGGATGAGCCGCCGAGAAGCCGGTGATAGAGAAACAGTCTACACTACGACTAGCGAGGATCGGCCTGCGCGTTATCGGTCAGTTGGAAGCTGGGTCAATCAACAAACAGGACGTTTGAAGCGAGCAGATGAGAGGAGCCAGGAAGTCCCACCGGTTCCTGATCTGCCGCCCATCAACACGGATCAAGGAGGCATGAGGTGACCATCATAAGGAGAGTCTGGTTAGCATTCACGGTTTGAGTCGAGAGCAGCACATCTGCCGACTCCACAATTGTCATCGCCGGCGTCAAGCTCGGAAAGCAGAGGGGCGATGAGCGTAATGAAAAGCGTGCATAACTACATATCTTACTTAGCTGTACATACTGATATCTGTTCATCTCATTTGGTCTCATGCATCCAAAGCAAAGGAGGCCATCTTGAGTCTTGGTCATTATCCAATCTAGCAAACCTGGCGAATCTTTTTTTTTTTTTTAGCATGGCAAGGTGTTGGCACTGGGCAGAAAATATTTTCAAGTTGAACTCTAATGAGCGTTTTCTTTTCTACCTTCATAGCTTGATACTGCTGGGGTACTAATGAAGAAGGAAAAGGTCATTCATTATGCGCTCACAGTATTAAAATTCGAATCCATATAACTATTATTTTATCTGAGATTGCATCCAAAACCATTACTTTTCAAAATTTGAAGTTGAGAGCATCGTGTCGAGTCCATGCCGCCAGCCATATATCTCGTGGTGACCATCACTTGAGCTTCCTTCTTCCTCTCCCAATCTGAGGCACCATCGTGCTGAGGTAGACGAAGCTTTCTCCATCTCTTATGATCTAAATTGCGGAGGAATAGAGAGAGAAACAAGAAAACAAAAGTATCGATTTACCACAAATCAGCATTGAGCTACAAGCCGCAGCCACCCACATACACATACTGCCCGGATTTTCGTTCCAAGTAGCTTTTTCCCTTTCCATCACCTCCTATAATAGCTATATGCCGGGTTGGTGCTACGTCAGTTGGCCACGCGTTGGCCGCCACATTGAAACATGGGGGGAGCCCATTTTTGAGCCTCCGCCTCGCTGAGCCGCAAAAATTCGGTTCCGCAGTTTCCGTTATACTACAGCACTTTGGTGCCGGTTTTGTTTGTTATAGTTACCGATATTATAGTCCTGCGGTTCGATTCAATTGAATTTCTTCGGACAACGATTATACACAGTAGACATTTGCGCGTTACTCTGTTTGGTTTTGGCCAAAAGTGCTCTCCTCCATTGCTATATTACCAAAGGTAGCAGCGATTTATGCTGCGGCGACCTTGGACAGTAGTATGTCTCCAGCAGATCCGGCTTCCATGACAGCCTTGACTTCTGTATTGGACATCTTCTCAACCATCTCTGGCCAGGATCCTAAAATCAGACATGACCGAGATTCCTTCTTTTTCCTTTTTTTTTTTCGTTATTCTTCCCAAAAAAGAAAAAAAATCATATACCCACGACAGATTGCATGATATCGATGAAGAGTCTTCATACTTGTCCGGAAGGGATCTGTTAATTGGGTTTGTCCAGAAATCCAGTGACATGGTTATGTTTATATCTACCCGCTAGTTTCTATAGCTGTGCAACTCGCGACCTGGCGACAGGGTTGGCTTACACCTAGTCGAGGCCAAAGAGTGAAATGCTGGGAATATTGATAGCGAATGGCTGACTTGGCCGGCGGAGAATGAGAACCCTCATTGAGACATGAATCTAACCTAGATGAAAAGAAGGATATGCATAGTGTGCCCTCAATCAGATGGTGGAAAGAATACACGCGTGTGCATTTGGTATACATTGGGTGGGTTTCATAGAGCACCTGCGTTAAGACCCTGTGTGCTTTTACCAAGTGCATAGATTGCACGACCGTTGATGAGCAATATAGTTTCAATTCACTCAAGCTTGGTATTATGAATGCAGGGCCTCTTTCCGTTATACATGTGATTGGGGGGTCTTGGTGCTTCAACCGAACTTTTGAGTTATTGCTGCCCTCTATTGCACTACTTACTACCTCTGTAAACGCCGACAGCCATCTCACCTGGGGATTTACAGAGATCGATGCGATTGGGCGGGAAAGCTTGAGATCAATCGCCAACACAGCCACTGGTGGAAGTGCCCGCCCCCACCACCAAACAAGAAGCCAGAGACTAAAACTAGTGCTGTTCTATTCTTTCCTCAGTGCTTCTCTAGTGTAGGTATAGAGCTTTGGGCATTACGAACCTCTGTACGTACCGCCGAGAATTCCACGTTGGGACACGCCAATCAGTGGATCTTTTTCCAACGAGATTCTTTGCTGCCTTCTCCCGCAGCTCTCAGCGTGTGGCGCAGCACTCATGATCTGCAGTAGTACCATGTAACCCGTCCCACTACAGACAATACGTAATGCGGTGCAATCAGGGTAGCCGTAGCTGCAAAGGAACAGAAACCTGCTAAACTTTGATCGGGAACCCTCCCCTACCCGACTTACATTAGTGGATGTACAGAGGTGCATGCTCCCACTACGCTCCATTACTTTACCTAGTAAGCCCCAGACCCGCATGCTTGCAGTTGCAGGTCTTGGCCTTTGCCAGGCGCCTGTCTTGTCTCTCTCTTGTTTCTGCAATTCATGGACAATTGTCGTCATGTGGTTGCGCTGGAAAGGGAGAGTAAGAGGGGGAAAGGGGTGTATGTGTGTGTGTGCCAGGCTGCCACTTTTCTCATGGTGAGAAGATAGACAAGAGTTGTTTGCTTTTTGATTGCATTTGACGATCACTAGATCCTTTTCTGTTACCGCTAAAGAACAAACACATGCATTTGTTGATTGATCACTGCTGCAAATATACTCGGACTGGAACTGGGCCCAACTCGAGACTTGTCGCATGTAAACTCATTCGCTCACTCAACTCAGCCTTGCTCTCAGCTGACCGGGCATAGTCATCCGAGCCCGAGATTCGCCTGATCGCTTCCTTCGCTTTAGTGAGCCCAGTTTTTATCTTTCTTTCAGACATTCCAACGTTTTTTTTGCTCCCCCCTTTGTCCAAATCGCAACGTCTTTCCAACAACTTCTCGAAGCAAGCTATCTACTCTAAAGAAGCGCCTCCGAAGTGCGACAGAATCCAGGGACCGGGACACTACCTACCTGCACTCCAACAACCAATCCCCCACCCGCCAAAGCTAGAGAGAATACCTAGTTTAGTGGTGCCCTTCTGCACGTGGCTTTCGCCATGCTCGACGAAAATCTGCCAACCTTCTTTTCGCGGCAGACGGCCGACAGCCCTCTCGCTTCTGTGCTATACTTCACCCAGAACGGATCCGAGCCGGCGCCCGAGTATGCCTACAAGCGCCCGGACCCGACTCTGCCGCAGTCGAGGAACAAGTACGGTCTGGGACTGGCCGACGCCCACACGCAAGATATCATCTACGGCGAGGTCCTGATCGAGCCAGAGTGGCAGCAGCCTACGCTCTCTGCCGCCGAGATTCGCGCCCAGAATGGCGTCACGCCCGCTCCCGTTCCAATGATCCCGGACGGTTTCACGATACAGCTCTACGACCCCGATCAGCAGGTAGTAGTCAAGGGCGAAAAGAGCACATGGACCGGCAAGGAGTCGTGGGAATTTGAGATGCCCCAGCAGAGCTTCAAGCTGCCGTCGGCGTCCAAGCTAGATCAAGATGCAGACCCGGCGGGCGCAAGCAGCCTCGCGCCCAAGATCATGTTCAAGTGGAAGAGGGATAGCAAGTTCTCCAAGGACATGACATGCTACATGACGGGACGATCAATGGGCAAACAAAAGAGCAAGGATCCTGACATCACGGTGGCCATGTTCAAGCAGGGGCGAAATGCCGGTCTCACCATATATGAACCGAACCTGGCTAGGGTAGATGTCGAGGACCGAAAGGGCCTGGAACTTGTCTTGCTGCTTGGTGCCGAGGTCATTCGGGACATATACTTGTTTCCTAACCGTGACTCGTTCAATGTCTCGGGCATGCCCCCAACAAAGCGCAAGAACTCCCGTCCCATCCCGGGCGCTACTCCCCCAAAGACATCTTCACCAGCACCGGGAAGCAGTGCGTATACAATGACCGGTGGACTTGGGAATCTACCTCCGGCAAAGACGTCTACGCCCGTGACACAGCAGCCAACGCCGCCCCCACTGGATCGCAAATCGACCGCCGCTGTGGACGCCGAGACAAAGCGGCTACAGGCCGAGGTGCAGAGGCAGGAGCGCGAGCGCGAAAAGCGGGACAAGGAGGAGCAGCAACGTATCAAGAAGATGCTTGAGGAGGAAGAGAGGCAGCAGCGCAGGCGCGAAGCCGAGATTGAGAAGGAGACTGAAGCGTTAAGGAAACAGTTTGGCATGCAAGGCCAGGACTATGAAGCGAGCCGACCCAACCTACCTCCGCGCGCCGGTCCGTCACAACCACAGCAGCTCCAGCCGCCCGGTGCTCCCAACGGCACGGCGCCTCCGCCGAGGCCTGTCAGTGTTGGGCCGCCGCGCGGCTCTGGCTTCAGTAGCTGGTGGCATGGCCCAGCAGTTGGGCCAATGCTACCCCCGCAACAGTATGGCACGCCTCAACCGGCCCAGGGTAGTTCGAGTGGAAGGAGGCGAAATGGTAGTGAAGGCAACAACAACAAGATTCACAAGAAGCGTAGTGTGTTCTTCTGATGCGATTGCGATTTGTAGGAAAGATGAAGTGGAACATTGCGTCACGGGTCTCGAGCAGCATTGGGTTGGCGTTCGGTTGTTTCTCTGGGTGTATATCCTTGATGATTCACAGTTGAGACCATGTTTGATAGAAATTATGTATTTGAATGAAGAACAACGTAAAATTGAAGAAAAGGCAGACAATGAATATTTCTGTGTAAACAAGGCCAAACTTGAATACCTTGGTATCATGTCTAATGGACAAGATAGATATGATGCCCAGTACATTTGACTGAGCCATAACCACCGTACTTGGCCATGATAGGAGCCATTTCACTATTGGCGAATCTTCGTCTGGAGTTGCAAAACGTCGTTATAGTCCCTTCCAGTCACGAAATTCTGCACCTGCCAACTAATCCAGACGCAGCTAATTCAACATCGGAGTTCGACATATAATCCATCCTCAAAGATTTCATCCTCACACAAGGCATCTGTAGCACACATGACAGTCTTCTTGTGAATTTTATATTGTGCCCTAATTGACCAAATTCCCGATGACCTTGGCACAATGTTTTGATCGTGTTCACGGAACACATGAGATTCTCGTAAAAACCAGTGTTCCTACGCCCTCACGCCGACGACCTCGATACTATAAAGGAAAGAAAATTAACTTGAACTTACATCTGCCTCTTACCTTGAGTCTCACTGGGGTTCTTTCCACAAACAAGTTCATCTCAGGCTATTGAATCTTTAGTATCTACCTTGTCAATTCAAACTTTGATCTCTCATCTGATACTATTTCAACCAGACCCAACTGCCCCGACTTGAACCTAACTACCTATTCAACACCAGGTACTCTCTCATGCCACTTTTTCTCTGCCTCTTACCACCAGCCACCTACTACTGTCTTCATTCCCAAACCATCTCATTCTTTCTTTTCCAAAAGCAATTCCAATTTTAGATAAACCAAACAAGTATCCAAAGCATCAGACGAGCCTTCTTGCCTGATCCAGAAAGCCGCTTCATCGTCCTCGTCTCCCGAAACTACCCTGGCTCGTCGAGCCTTGAGTAAAGATATCAGCAGCCAGTTGGTGAAAACTTTTCTTATGTTCCTGCTTCCTCCTTCACTCTTTCTCGCCCGGCATAACAATTCATGTTCTTTTACCCTTGTTCCACCTACAGGACAGGATCAGTTTCCTTTCAAAAGCCCATCGGCCTTCATCCGCCCTTCTATGCTCGGATACTATCTTCGTCCTCTCTTGCCCAAGAATTCACAATTTCCATAACGATAATTTGGCAATTACTGGAACACGAGTAGTTGCCTGTCATTGTACCTTCTTCTGTTCCTGCCTCAGCTGTCTTCCTCAAGCAAATGATCGACTGTCCATCTTTCACCACGGCTTTCTCTTGTAATTTACCCTCTCAACTGCCTTCCGTCTTTCTCGTTATTCTTTTCGACCCGAGGAATTAACCATTGAGTGGAAGAATAAGGCACCAGACAGACCTGCTTATCTATATCGAAAGACCAACTCCTTGCAACTTTACAACATACGCATTCATTTCAGTCGAGACGAAGTGTTCCTCCCTTACTTCTTTCACTTTAATCTTTTCACCCATTTCAACCCACAATAGCCTGCCTGCCCAAAAGCAAAGTTCAACAGGGCCGGCTTTCCTTCCTCTCAAACACCCCCTCCTACACACAGTTGCCATACCGTAATCGATATTGTCTACAAGGCTTCTCTTCTTCATTCAGCTTACGCACTCCAACTACAACAAGTCTACCCACATAACACACCACCCTTGTGCAGTACCGGTTTCTTGGTCGCCGATTCAGACCAACCCACGCATCATGGGTCGTAGCCTCAACCCCAAGGAGCAGCCCATTTTCAAGAACATGGTCATCGCAGTTGCGGGCGATATTGGACATTCCGAGGCAAAAATCAAAGATTGGTTGGCCCTCCGAAAGGGCACATTCGCTGCCGATTTCGACGACTCGGTTACTCATGTTCTGGCCACCGATGAACAGTTCAAGAAGAAGGGTCCTATGAGTGAGTATTTCTTTTGTAGTTCTCCCCCGTTTCCTATTCCTCTCCTTCTTTCTCCTCGCTGTTTTGTCCTTTTGGCTTGATGCTGTGCTGTAAAGGCAATAATGAGATGAAAGACGAAAGAGTCAGACGTGGGATTACCGAAGACCAGACTAACACTCATCTACCACAAATTAGTTCAGAAAGCAATGAAGAACAAGAACGTCAGAGTCTTGAAACCTGATTGGTTCGATCAGTCCATGAACCTAAACAAGCTACAGCCGGTATCCGAGTACTCACACAGAAAGTCTGAATCAAACAAGACTTCTGCCAAGACCAAGAGCCAGACCCAGACCCAGGGCAAGGGCAAGGGCAAAGCCAAGAGTCAGACGCATGAGGAATATGTGGACACTGGTAGTGTAGAGGTATGCGACTTTAGAATGATACGAACTGACGTAATATCTACAGGCCTGTTTCACCTGTACTCTGACAGCACCGAGTTCAAGTATGCAATCACATTGAGCGGACACGACGGCGACAGGTTCACTGTGGAGGTAAGTCAACATGGAACATCTCTGTTCCTTCTATTATATTCGGTAATACATCATGTGAAACTGACCCTATTAATTTCCCCCAACCAATAGCTATGGGAGTCTAATAACCATCAACCGCATCTTTACCACTGTGCGGGCAAGTACTACAAGCAGGGCACGAAGAAAGGCATTCCTTGGCGTATCAGTGCGACTGCAGGCACTTTCCAGCGAGAGTATGAATGTTTCCGTTCCATCTTCCTCAAGAAGACCGGCGTCAGGTGGAGTGAGCGGGTCAAGGCTGCCAACCAGGAAGGCCTGGTCGAGGCTCGTGTCAAAGACAGCCCTGCTTACAACTACCAGCTACCTGTAAGTTCAGAACCATGAATCTCTTCTCTGTCTCGGTAATATCATGTAACACATGCTGATATGTTAAATAGGAGGAGAATCAGCCACGTGGCAAAGCAGATCTGCTTGACGAGTCTGCATCTCTCAACTCCAAGGCTTCTGGTGGTGCTGGCAAGGCAGCCGCCGGTGCTTCGAAGACCAAGTCGGACAATACGATTGCAGCCAGGAACAAGTCTGCTCCTTCGACTCCTTCGCGGGCCATCAGTGTGGACAGTAGTGACGACGATACTGAGTCTCCCAGTCCTCCTCCAGCCAATCTTCCCTTGAGGCCTTCGAAGAATGCCGATGATGACTCGGCAACAGGGGGCAGCTTCCTCGACCACATGAGAGTACCCAGCATGGCGCAGAAACGACCGTCTCAGGCTCTAGGTACCGGCGCAGCACGACAGTCACCGGCTCCCAAGACTTCTACACAAAAGAGATCATCTCTTGCTCCGAGCTCCAACAAGTCGACCCCGGCTCGGACTCTGACTCCTGCCCTCTCACAGCAGTCTGTCTCAACTCCAATCACGCCCAAGCCTGGAAGAGTCGAGGGAGCCGGAAGTATACCCCAGACATTGCCGAGGCTCCCGCACACCCCAGAGCAATCGAAGACCATCCCGGGATGGACTCCGGTCACGATACCTTCGGCCCCGAAAAAGCCAGAGACCGCCAAGTTTCAGTCGTCCCTCAAGCGCCCCCGCGACTCGACATCGAGCACGCCCACCGGCCATGTACAGAAGAAGCTAGCAATGATGCGCGGCCCCGTCGACGAGAACAAGTTGCTCAAGGCAAAAATGGCAACAGAGGTCAAGGCACCCGAGCACAAACCCGAGGCTCTTGGCATCTTTGGCAACGGTTCTGGCATCATTGATGTCGATGCTGAGGAGGAGACGACTGCCAATACCGAGGCGTCGGCAGCAGAAGCAGTCCAGACCAACGTTGACAAGGAAAAGTCCACGACGCCCGCCCTCTCTATTGATCTCACCATGGACGTGGATGACAATGCAGCACCGCCCGTCGACCCCGCCGCCACGGACAAGGACGAGGTCATGGTTACCGATACTGCCAACGAGCAAACAGCCACCACCACCACCACTACCACATCCACCGGCCCTTGCACCTCCCCGGGCGATGTGAGCGAGGATATGTCCGAGCATGAAGGATCCCAGAACGCGTTCCAAGGAGATCACGATGACAAGTACGACGCTCTCGAGAGCTCCCTTGAGGAGGATGAGCGCAAGGATGCAGCCGAGGTCGACGACATGGCCGTCGATAGCGACCATGACTCCGACTCTACCGACTCTAACTAGAGGTTTCCTTAAAAAATAAAAAAAAAAACAAGAAACACTTCAAACTTTATAGCTTGCCTTTGTGTCAATTCGTTTGGCTCGCCGTCTATGCTGTCAAGCCAGCTAGATCGTCTTATCTCAGTTTCGGTTGTTGCGGTGTGGAAAATGGTATCAAATGAGTTGCCTGCTATCCAAATCGTTCAGGTCGGGTGGAAGCCATCACATTAATGGACTCGGATGGGCTGGGATGGATAGAGGTGACGATACTCCAATGGTTTGGCCAATGGCCTTGTTAATATGCGCATGGATTCAAGTTATTCGGGTTTGTAAGCCTCTAAACTTTCAATGTACCTACTTTCAGTAGATAGGACGCTCATCCAAAAATGCAATTGCGAATCTCTTTTCATCAATTTAAACCTAAAGCTCCTAGGATGCGTCCCGGGTTGCTTGGGGGGTATCGTAGATCTGTATTGCGCTTCGCTAGGTAGCACACGTATCGTCGTAATTTGTCCTCGAACCAATCCTCCGTTAATCCAGTCATTGCCGGATCGTCGTGACACAAATGTCTTTCGCCTATCCCTTTTAAAACCTCAACTTGGGCATGACTCCAACGATCAAGATGGCTATGACCATTAGTCCAAAGATCCAGGCATACAGCATCATTCGTCCCCACCAGCCCTTGCCCTCGGTCATCTTCCTCAGTGTGCCCATTCTCCTGCTTGCCGCATCCATTCCGCGCTCGCCCTTTTCCATGCCCGCACCAGCTGCAGACAGGACGTCCTTTTCTTGCTCCAGGTCGCTCTGGAAGGCATGAGACTGCGTCTTGAGCGTCCGCGCCATCGACAGCAGAGACTCGGTGAGCTTGTCTTGCTCGGCCCGCTGGTGATCCAGAATGGCCTCGGTAGTGGCGCTGGTGCTCAGCGCCGTTGTCGGCGACGAGTGCTTGTTACCAAAGAGCTGGGATCGGGCTGTTGTCTCGGCCGAATCGTTTTGCAGCGGGGCGGGCGCACCGCGGGATCGCAAGCTCTGCTGGGTCGATGTGCCTGGTTGACTTGCTGACAATGTGACTGACGGCTCCTGCTTTGGTGGTTCGGGTCCTCGAGTTACTGCCTCTGTTTGCGGTGCCGGGATGTGGCGTCTCGACTCGGGTACTATCGTGCTCTCGTCGGCGTAGCTCTCTCCCTCGGCGTCTTGTTCATCCTCTTCTATTTCCTCTTCTTCCGCGTCGGTCCATGCCTGTATCGGTTGGTCAGAGTTGGTCGAGTCCAAGCTGTCGCTCGGCGTCTGTATTGTGCCCAGAATGTCCTCGCCATCGGAATCGTCGTCGTCATCGCTGTCTATGCTGGTCTCCTCCAGCTCTGCCAGTCGCTCCGTAATTTGGTCAAAAATGTAGCGCTTCCTGTTCAAGTCTGCCTGTGTCTCCTGTCTTCTAGTGTGGATCTTGATGCTCAGGGCATCTTGTTCGAGCCTGGTGAGAAGCGTGCGTGCGTATTCTAGGTTCTGGCCACATGTTTCAGTAAGTACAAGCGCATCAACGAATACCGAGTATCCAGTCAGGGTTTGTCGTACTATGCTCGCCTTATTCCTCTCGTACTCGCTCGTGCGCAGCCGGTGTTCCCTCTCGGCGTCGGCATGCAGGATACTTTGTTGGAGTCGGGCCAGCAGGCGGTTCAGATCTGTAAAGGAGTCGGGATTGGAGACGCTGCGCCGGGGCGTCATGGGAGCTTGATGGAGCCTCGCCATGGTTTCTTGTCTTTTGTCTTTTTGTCTTGGGTGCGCGGAATCAGATCTGTAGCTTGCTCAAGGTTAAAGGGTGTAGTAGATGAGTAGAGTACAGTAGCCACGCAAGGGTAATATTGCGCCGCAGAAATGCGCTCCAAATTGTTTATGTTGTGGTTCGGAGGTTCGTCCCTCTGCTCCGTTTGTTGCTATGCTGTCATGAGCCACTCAGATGTAATGACACCTTATTACGGGCGAGCTTCTGCTCCTTCCTGGCATGATTCCGCTACTGGGGGTGGGGCAAAGTTCTGCATGATTAGCTGCATAAGACCCCTGCTCCCTGCAGATCAGCGACTACATAACCAGACAATATGCACTTAAGCCACATTAGTATAGTCGTACTATAGAGTCTGTCATGTTTACTTCTGTTTATTTTGGTTACAAAGCCCGCGTCAATGATGATTGACTATTTTGGTAGGTGGGCGTTTGAAGGATCTACTATCACCAGGCTACCTGAAACTTTCGAAACGGGAACTCCCATAGTAGTGGATTCTTCAGTCTTTCTGAATGCCTTTCATCCAAAGTTTACCACTGCATTCGACGATTGGTCAATAGTCCTTCCCACCCGAGCCTTCCGGTGCCACTACAGCTGGCCAACTTATTCTTCTTGTTGAAGCATTGGCTCATGTAGGGATGTCATTCCTGAGGTAGAACAAGAAATCGATTATAATTATTGGCTTCAAGCTTACTCCAAGACTTCTTGTCTACTCCAACTGCTTACACCTCCCACATCATCCAAATATGTCCCCTCGTCTCGAGGCACATCTCGAGAGTTGTATTGCAGTCGCAACAGCAGTTGGAAGTTCTAAGCAGAGTTCACCAATGGGAAGCGTTTGAGAATGTATAAATGACGTCTTGTATTATGCCATGATGATGGATCGACACGTCGTGAATATTTTGCCACTCTAGTTGAGTCGGTTCATCATTGCGCGTAGGCTCTCTTATAGGTATGAATGGAAAAACTGGGCGAATTTCTGGGGAAATTTATGTGATATCAATGTCTGATTCCCCATTGCGCCCAGGAATGATAGCGCAAAACATCATTCTGTTCAGGAATATGAAAAATCAGCATGGCTGCACTGTCTTCAGGTGTCTGTAGAGCGACTTCAGCGTGATATATATCTCTAAGTATTTCATAATCAAGCCACCGAAAGCTTATGGCTCATCAGTGACAGAAACAATTTATACAGCAATCCACCAAAGTTGACGCTAAACTGGGCCGACAGCTTCAGTGAAAAATAAATGAGTTGGCATTCTCGCTCCGGAGACAAAGATATCCATGGCAATTTGATCATACTGACGGTGCATGACTTTCTTCGTCCGATGGAAACATGAACGACATGCACACATATCTAGCGATATTCTTCCTAGTTGCCCTTGGTGCTGCCCAAAATGTTACGCATGACTACGTCATCGTTGGTGCTGGTACCGCCGGACTGCTCTTGGCCGTGGTGCTCACAGAGAATCCGAATATCTCTGTAATGGTGCTAGAAGCTGGTGGCGATGCCCGCAACACACCAAACGTGACAGATCCAGAGCGTCGAGGTAATAAGTCTGATATAATCATTCGTATTGTCAAACTAATACTCATCGTCGATCCAGGTACTATACAACACACCGAGTACGACTGGGGTCTAGAGACCACGCTCCAGCCATACCTCTACGACAATGGCACCGGAGGGTCACAATACGTGCCGCGCGGCAAGACCATTGGCGGCACGTCGGCCATGAACTGGATGATTCACAATGAAGACAGTCAAGTGCAGCTCGACATTTGGGAAACACTATTGAACCTGACGGGTTGGAACTACACATCCATGTCCACCGCGTTCCGGCAGTCCGAGACCATGTACGCTCCACCGGCATACGAAGCACAATATCTCCCATACGATGCCTCGTACCACGGGGGCGCTGGGCCCATTCAGTCTACTTTCCAGAGGAGTGTATACACCCTTTACTCAAACTATGTTCAGCCCAGCTTGGAAGCTAGTGGTTGGCCCCGAGCCCACGATGGTAATGATGGAGACGCCCGCGGGCCTAATTTTCTTCCACTGGCAATTGATCCATCGAATTACACGAGGTCCTTTGCGGGTTCTGTGTATACGACGGTTCAACAGCGGCCCAACTTGCAAGTGCAGGTGAACAAATACGTCACACAGATCATGTGGAACTCAACTATAGGCAATGTAACAGCTTCAGGAGTACAGTACATTGACATAGGCGGAACCAACTCAACTCATGCAGCCTACGCGCGTCATATAATCCTGAGTGCGGGTATCATCCAGTCACCACAGATCCTTCAGCACAGCGGCGTCGGCGATCCGCTCATTCTCTCGCCTCTGGGCATCAAGACGATTGTCCACAACGAAAACGTCGGCACCTCGCTCCGCGATCCCCCCATGATGAACTACCTGCCCATCTCCTTCCAGCTCAACGAAAGTGCTGCCGAGGCGGCTAACCTGACCGGAAACCAGTATATTCAGAACCTCATCGATCTCGAGCCCGCGTCTATTTCTCTCGCGCAAGAGGACTATGACGCCGCATCCGCCTGGCTCAACGAGACTGACTCGATTCCAGGGCTCGCAGACGCTCAGTTTGCCATCTTCAAGGAGCTGTGGTATACAGAGCAGCCACTTTTGGAATTTGCGTGGCAGTACCAAGTCGCCAACGTGACGCCGTACAATCTCGTCCCGCTGAGCCAGGGGACGGTGCGCATCAACAGCTCCAACCCGACGGACCCCCCGGCCATCAACCCAAACTACAATTCCGTCAATGCCACCATCAACGGTACCGAGGTAGCCTGGGACATGTGGTTCCTCGCCAAGGCCGCACAGCATTACACCGCCGTGCTGGCCACGGCGGAGCCCATGGCCGGTCTCATTACGGGCACGATCCCCGATTATCGGCTGCCGTTTGACCAGTGGTACGACGCCGTGTTTCAGCAGACTGGCTCGTCTCAGCATCTCACCGGCGGAAACCCGATGCTGCCCCTAGAGGCGGGTGGCGCCGTCGACGCCAGCCTGTTGGTCTACGGGACGACCAACGTCCGAGTTGTCGACGGGAGCGTTTTCCCCTACCAGCCCAGTGCACATCCCATGGGCGTGACGTATGCCTTGGCGGTACGAGCCGCGAGTATTCTGCAGCAGCTTGAGGGCGGCGGCGGTCTGACGGAAACGACTCGGTTGCCGGTAAAGAATGCTAGCATGGCTGCAGTTGCCATGTTTCCCGGAGACAATCCTCAGTAGTATACTGTAATTTTTTCCAGTTTTCTTCAGTTTTCGGGCTGCTTCTACTCCAAATTGGGTTTGAAAGGGTGGAAAAGAGGAACACGATGTTAGGTAACTGCAATATTAAGGAGCGGCCGAGTGGAACAACAAATAAACCTGTGAGAACTTGTCTGGATACATATTAATGACCGACCTACTAGTCAAGGGACCATTAGATAAGACCTGACGTAGAATGCTCAACAGAAGAGGTCCATGTCGTAGAGCCCGCCGACTACATCTGATTGCAATTCTGGATTAAAGCCTTGGTGAAACCAATCGAGCCCAATATGACTTGGATCAATAGGGAATTCCACCACGGCGGCGTCTATTCCATCGACATCGACCGCCTCAACTGCTATCGTCCCACTAACCATTGGCTGCTCATTGAGACCATTTGATGATGCTGTGAGCGGTGATTGGATTAGGAACTGTCGTGCGTGTAATGGTGGATTATGATGCACATACCCAAAAGCTCAAGATAGCGCCGAATAGTGGAGGCCACCTGAGTGCACTTGGACACCATTTGGTTGCCAGGGTCCACGAGAGGGAGACAATCAATTGCTTTGTCCAGTGACTCTTTCAAAGTTGCCTCTGGGATACCCGAAATACTCTGGTTCTCAGAGCCACATACTCGGTCGATTAGCATAACAACAGCAATGGCCAAAGTCGCATTGAAGGTGTAATAAAAGGTGAACCACCAGGCACCCAGCAGCTTGCGCGAAAGCTTGGATGAGTGGAAAATTGTATGAATCAGATCGATGAGGTTTGTGGCCGACTCAAAACACGTACGACAATACCGGCTCCCAAGTTGTAATATCATGGACGTCTCGGGATCGTCTGGCTCGCGGCGCTCCATTCTGTGTAAATAAAAGTCCAAAAAGGGTCGAGAGGCCAGGATGCAGAGATTATGATATCTCAGACTTAGAATGACTCGCAATCGCTTGGAAAGTGAGTATTCTTCCTCGTCTGTAGAAAGATGTTTTGCTGTTATGAGGGTGAGCGCCGGGTTCAATGATGACTGCCATTCCATGAATTGCTGCTCGACTCGCAAAATATCAGATGTCATTGTAAGCATCCCAGTCCCTCCTTGAGAGCCTATGTTGCTCTCATACAAGCTTTCGAGAACCAGCCACATTATTTTGTACAGCTTTCTACCACAAATCAGTACGGATCTTTGGTTGGGCAAATTGTGTACATACATTGTTTCGTTGAAGAACACCGTGCTTAGAGCCTCTGAATCTTCTTGTTCAATATCTTTACTGGAACTGAAACCCAGACCCTCGGGTAGGGGAATCCTAATATAGTTATCTGGAATGGCAGATGGTCGCCCAAAGGTCATACTCAGCGTCCTGGATTCATGTCAATTGGTACTCAATAGGATAACTGCACACTGTTCTGGGCGCACCTGTCAAGAACGATACAGCCGAACCATGTTCTTGCCCGAATTTCACGGTCAATAGCCGAAAACTTTCGAGAAAAGTCGTTCGAATGCAACCCTAGGTGGAACGCAGCCTTGACCGCGAGCCCATGTATGTTCCACGTCTTGACGGATCGATTGGTGCCCTGTAGATACAGCCCCATGAGAAGAAGAGTTTGTACTGTCATCAGTCAGAATTCACTCATTCAAACAACTCGTTCATGTCTCAAGAAATACCTGTTTCAAGAGTCGTTCCGCTCATGGTCAACTTGATACACAAGGCTTCTGATCGGGCAAAGAAGACTTCGGCGCGTGCTGCTCGATCTGAAGCACTGATAAACAAAGTCGACTCGATGGTCGTAGCCATTGCCAGGATTATATTCAACAAGGCAAGCCATGAGCGCCGCAGTGTTCTGAAATTTGCTCGCCGGGCTTGCTCAAATGTGTCCATAAAAGTGGCTTTGTGAACAAAGGGAAACAAAACTCCAGTGGTGGCAAAGTATGTCTCCACCAAAGTACGAGCTTCAGCTGGAGATGGGAGACTGAGTGAATCAGCCATGGAAGTTCCGTTTGGGTGGGGGTCACTTGGCCGGGACCTGGGGGACTGAGGTCTAGATATCGCCAGCGAGGCCGGAGGCGGGGACCTTGACCTCCGGGGTACCGGGTCGAGCTGTATAGAACGATCCTTCAAAACGAATGTGAGTCCACGTCTAATTTTGCGCATGAATGTGATATTAGATGATGGCCCTAGATCATAATCAGCAATGAATGTTAATAGATGATGGGTGCTAGATTGCTCACCAAAATATGCCGAGTCATTCTCGTCCATGAACTCTATTGAGCCAATGCCATCAGTTGCATCGGGCGATGCGTGTGTCTCATCTAGTTCTCCGTGAGCCACTACATCGCTCCGGGTTGAGTCTGAAGTGATGGCATCATTCTCATCATCTTGCTCGTGTTTGGAGTTGCCCCTATTTTGTCTCTTGAGGAGACGAACTTCATTCTCCAAGTTGGCCAAACGTGTTTCGACAAGCTCTAGAAATCTGTTCTTGTTAGTGAACTTATCAGTGTTATTGCTGAAGAAACTCAACAACACTTACTGTCTGGGTACAGGCGTTGTACTGGATATGGGAGTCTGCACATATATACAATCCAAGTCATGTTCTACACAACTGGAGCACTTAGGTCGTGCCCCGTCGCACTGGAATAAAATTTAGTCATGTTCTCCTAATATCTGGCAGGAGTATACACAAACTCTACTCTTTTTGTTTCTGCAGCTGCTGCAAGCCACGGGTATTCTACGCCTCTTCAGGCCGCGCCGTTCCGCTGCTGCTGCTGGGGTCATGGAGACGGATAGCTGTACGCGGAGGAGCCCGTCACTGACCGGCCCCACCGGAGTTATGATGGTGAGCCTATTGAAGACTTTGGATTTGCGATCCAGTTCTCGGCCTGGGCCGCACAGTAATGGACAATCCTCACAGAAGGTGAAGTGTGGAAAGATGCAATTTGGGGCGTGGTGGACAGGAGAACATTGCCCTATCTCCCCGCCTTTTGCCCAAAAGTCGGGGCTTTTTGTATGTGCTTGAGACCGTCGCTTGGCCGGCGAACCTTCCTAACTCCGGCCTACGCACGTGCAAAGCTCCACGCACGTAGCCTACGTACGTACTTCAGGGCGGCAGTCATTCTACATGGATTATCTTGGTTTGTTCATTTGGAAAGGGAGAAAATACGAACTACGACGTGTCATCCTGATTTTGATTCTTTGTAAGCTGATGAAAGGAAGGGAATAAATGGTGGTGGGGAGGTCTAATCGCCAATACTGCCTATTCAGGGAGCATAGTGGACCGACTATACAGAACCCCAAACACTATTTCCGGTGTCCTCCTCCGCTGAGTAATATCATAGCAAACAACCATTCAAGAGTAGCACCCTCATCTTTGATCTACACTGTAATCGAATCTCATTGCATTCGTGTCAAGCGGGGAAATAAATTATGGTACCGATGGGGTAAACGCAGAACGGTAGTAAGATCACCGTTTACTTGGAGTAGAGTCGGACCTTACGAAGGCCGATGTGGTCTCTGGCTATTCTTCGAAGCCGACGAATCTCGTTATTAGAAGAAAAAAAAAAGAATAAAAAGATCATCTTTCCTGTCTCGAGATTGAAACTGAATTTTATTCTCCGAGAAACAAACAGCATTTCTGCAGTGAATCGAATTGATCTTCGCCATGGAAAACTCTACTATTGCCAAAGACACCTCCTTAGACGAGAGCAAACGCTATAACAACTATTTCGTGCCGGAAGGAGACCTCAAGTATGTTCCCCCATACTTTCGAGATACACCCGAAACCGTCGACGAAGTGACTTGTCCGACACGAGGGGAATGGCCATCATGGCTGACTGGTACATTCATGAGGTAAGATGGAGAGATAGTACACCCGAAATTATCCTCGAGCGACCACTGACATACTTAGGATCGGAGCTGGACGATTTACCATACCACTCTCTGAAGATGGTTCAAAGCCCAATGCTGTTTTGCAGCATTTCTTCGATGGTCTGGGTATTCTTCATAAGTTTCGTATGGATAATGGACAAGTACACTATTCCAGCAGACACACTGCGGAGGGAATAGTGAGAAGAGCCAAAAGGGACGGATATGTCTCAACTGGAATGTTTGGGCTAAATGCCAACACGCCGCTCAAAGAGGCTCAAGACCCTTGTTCGGCACTGTTGGGCGCACAAGTGAGTCCACCAGAACATGACAACTCCATGAATCATGACAGAGGCTGAAGGTTGCTTCCTAGCAATCGCTCTTCCTACCAAAGGGCCATTTGGCTCCGGATGAGATGAATGTCAATGTGACGCCGCGAAGAGGCATGCATCTTCCCCAAGACGCCAACCCCCACTCGAGAGGCACCGCGTCCGAGAACCCCGAGACGGAGGAGCTGCTCGTCCATACCGACTTTAACGCGCTGCAGGTCTGCGACGCAAAGACGCTCGCGCCCAAGCGGCTGCTCACGTACGCCGAGATCGATCCCGAGCTTGCGGGTTTTGGCATTTGTGCCCATCCGCCCAAAGACCGCGTTCGCGGTCACACTTTCAACTACATCATCAGCAACCAGGGCGTCTTGTCCATTTTTGCTCTGGACATCAGGGCCAAGCCGGCCAAGCTGCTTTGGAAGACTGCACTGCCATGCCCGCCCTGCTACATTCATTCACTTGCCATGACAGACAAATACGTCGTCTTCATCAGAAATGTGAGCCGGGGTCCGTTTCCTTCTTGCCCTTGTTTTTGATGCTGATTTATGTAAGCCTATCCACATGGATGTAAGCGATACGACGAAGCAGCTCGCTCAAATGCTCGAGTATGAACCGGAGTCCCCGACACAATTCTTTGTCCTCGACAAGGAGACTGGTGAACAGTCAGTGAACCTACCCATTTCCGATTGAACTGTTGCGCGATTCTAATGTTCAAATAGTATATCAACCTTTAGTGGAAATGGCTTCATGTTCTTTCACTCTGTCAACGCATATGACTACGTGGACCCGGCCACTTGCGAGGTCAACATTCACGTAGACCTCTGCAGCTACCAGGGGACCTACATACCGTACCGAGAGTACAACCTGAGCAACATCGTCGACCCGGCCGGGCCTTTCCAAGACGGTACGCTTGTGCGGTACGAGCTATGCAATGTATCGACGCAGGGACTGAAGGAGAAGCCCGGCCGCGTCACTACCAAGGCCGCCATCCCGGGCGTCGCGGCCGAGCTGCCGCGCATCGCCAAGGCAGCATCCATGCGGCCTGGGTATCGCTATGTCTACTTCACGGCCGGCAACGGTGGCGCCTCCCCTGGCACCGAGGTTCCTATTGGCCGGCTGGGCAATGGACTCAAGGTCGTCCAAGCCGCCTTCTTTGGCAGTCTCGCCAAGTCGGACTGGGAGACGGGGACATTTGTCCGGTGGCAGCCCGAGAATGGGGAGAGTTGCCCCTGCGAGCCCATCTTTGTCGGCAGGCCCGGGGCCACGGAAGAGGACGACGGGATCGTTCTGACTATTGTCGTCAACAAACAGGGTACGAGGAGTATACTAATTGCTCTGGACGGCAGGACCTTCAAGGAGGTCGCCAGGGCGGAGATGCCGCAGGTGTACGGCATGGGTCCTCACGGTTCCTTTATTGAGGGCTGACTGTCGAGTATGGTGAACAGGTCGACGAAATGAGGGTGTTTGTAAATGGCTTGTATGCTTTTTTGTCATTCTCTAATTATGAGTTCCTGATTTGGACTATCGGCATCACGATGGAAGAGTGGAGCTCCATCAAGTGACCAAGCATATCCAAAACTCTCGCCAGTTCTAGCCAAGCAATTGCGCCAGCCATATTTCCACAAGCGGGAGCTAGATCTGAGATTTCCACATGTGTTATAGGGGATTCACGTGAGAACGAATCAAGCAAATTGAGTATACCCGCGTTCGTTGCCACTCACTCGCTAGATGTGCGATTTGTAGTGAAACGGATCATGTGAGGCATGATGTGTAGCTACACAATAAAAATGTAATGGGTTGGAAACAGGATGAAACTGCCCAGACAAGCTCACCAGCCTTTGAGTGTTACTACCAATGCATATGAGAGCAATAGGAGCTGGTCACGACTGATCTTGTTCTCGAGAAAACCCACTTGGCTATATCCTTGGATGTTTCTTATTGGAGCGCATGAGGGGAGATCCCAAGGACCCCTGAAATTCCACTGATTATAGTCGAGAGGCGACAGTGAACAATAAATGCCCTCGATGCGAGTTATTGACCTAGATCGACCTACCTAAACCAGTTTGCCGGATTGGTCTAATGTATGAAATTATAAATGAGCATAATTCGCAAATGGGGTGATGATAGAATGCGACGAATCCGCCCAGCCGGAGTTAGGATTAAGGGAAAGCAAGCCACAAGACGCGCTCTAAAGGGGAGATAGATAGGTAGTATTTCGCTCGAGGGGAGCACGAGTCGAGTAAAGATTGGCCTTGGCGGTGTTGGTTTTTTTCACTTGCAAAACCAGTGGCCGGCCTTTTCTCCGGCGCCTGTTACGGAGGAGGAGCCAAGTCTCAATTTGGTAGGTCTTGCCGGGGTTGTGTGCTCGCTTTTCTTATCACGGGAAAACTTCTGTTCGATCGAACTTGACAACCCGCAAACATGCTTTTGAAAAGGGTAACGAAATATTGTGTTGCCAAGTGACTCAGAAAGAGCTCAGAGGCCAAAAGAGAGATGCGACAATGACTGTTCTGCGACGATAGATGAATTCGCGTGCCTCGGTGACAAGCCGAGCACCGAGGAGCACCGTCCGTGCCTCGAGACGGGGGCTGGGAGAAGAGAGAAAAGATACCGACGAGGCCGAGCCAGCACCGGGCGCGACTTTGGAAGGGCAGCCTGAGGAAGTGGGCGAGATGAGGCTGGAGGGCTGCAGGGTTGACGGTCTACTAGAGCGGAATAGACGCCGTGCATACATAATAATAGGTGGCTCGACCTAGAAGACTATATCTTCAAAATGCTCATCGACAGCATTGCCGGCCCTTCGGCTCTTTGTGAATTTGGCATTTGACATATGTCGCCGGAATTTTGTCGTCGGAATTTCAGATTCGTGGTATCGGGCGCACCGGCCAATCGGCACAAATTCCGCACTTTTTTTTTAATTATGATAGAGAGCATCAGCAAACGGAGGAAACGCTGGGTAGCAGCATGTGGTTTAGATACGTCACACAAGCGATAATGATCTGTACCTTGGTATCAGTGACCTTGAGTACACTAACTCAGGTATGTGGTTGCCAGGTATTGTAGGGTCAAGCAGGTAGATAGCGCATCCCATCGCCCGCCAGCGAGCCGCTATGGGGCCCTTTTTGAGGCGTTGATACTGCTGGCAAACAAAGTGGGTGTGGTGCTCAGATCGTCAGAGGGAGCAAAAAAAAGATTGTGTGGAATGAATGATGAATGTCCATGGGTTGTCTGGCTTATCAGAGGCCATGGAATTTCATGTAATCATAATCAATTATGAGACGCTAAGAACGGGAGCCCGCAAGCAAGAGAGAGACGAATCCTCACACCTCCATTATCTCCATTGCACTACAGAGTACTGCCGTAATGAGAAGGCATCTACGCGAGAGAGAGAGAGAGAGAGAGAGCGAAAATATTTTGTCATAGTTCTGCTGCTTTGCGACATATCAACGAATGAAAAGTCTCTGCTGGAGAGGGCAGATCCAGAGTCAGGCTCATACAAGCCAGCTTTGCCAGCTTGGAAGTTGGAGCCACCGCGGGCGCACTGAAAGTGAAGCCCAGCACAAAGAGAGACCCGGCCGATATCCACCGTATTATCCACTGACCAGGGACTCGGCCAGTAACCGCAGGCGATTCTGCGCGGCACTAACGTAGCCAGCACCAAGCTCCCGGCTACCCACCCACCCAGTCTAGGTTATTACTCACCGTGCTACGGTACTAGGTGCTAAAAAAGGTATGTAAGATATTGCGCTCACCTCAAATTTTAACGTCCAGCTGTGATGATCGTTTCTCATTCCTCCTAATCTTCCCAACTTCCAGCCAAAACGGTCGTAACTTTGAGCTTTTTGCATCGCGCATTCTGCTCTCAGAGAAGCCATGGCTTCGTCTTCACGGGCCCTCACCCGGCTTGCCGGTTCTCAATTGAGTGCCAGAGCTCAACCGCAGCTCAATGCGCAAGCTGCTGCTGCCAGAGTCGCCAACCTCACGACGTCATCTGCTGCCAGCAGAGCCACTCTGTCTTCCCCCATCATCTCCAGAATCCAGCGCAACCAGACGATATCCAGCCAGTTCAAGAGGACATATGCCGACTCTGCCCCTTCCACTCCCCCTGCTGCCCCCAAGAAGCGCAAGATCCGCTACTTCAGATGGGCCTGGCGCTTGACTTACCTCTCCATCCTAGGTAGCTTGGGCTATGTCGTCTACGATGGCTTCCAAGCACGCCACCCAGATGACCAATTCGTCCCTGACCCAAACAAGAAGACCCTGGTGGTCCTTGGTAAGGCTTCTATAAATCCATCCACTTTAGTGACTCTTGTCGTTGCGTTACACGACTGCTGACACGCGCTTCCCGAAGGTACCGGCTGGGGTTCCGTCGCTCTCCTGAAGAAACTTGATACCGAAAACTACAACGTCGTCGTTGTTTCGCCGCGCAACTACTTCCTGTTCACTCCTCTTCTCCCGTCATGTACTACTGGTCAAATCGAGCACCGCTCCATCATGGAGCCTGTGCGCCAGATTCTGCGTGCAAAGAAGGCTGCCGTCAAGTACTACGAGGCTGAGGCTACTCACATCGATCACGAGCGCAAGGTTGTCAAGATCACCGATAACAGTGAAATCAAGGGTACCATTACTGAGAACGAAATTCCTTACGATATGCTGGTCATTGGTGTTGGTGCTGAAAACGCTACCTTTGGAATTCCCGGTGTCCGCGAGCACAGCTGCTTCTTGAAGGAGATCCGTGACGCCCAGGCTATCCGAACCAAGATCATGGACTGTGTCGAGACTGCTGCTTTCAAGGACCAGGCTCCCGAGGAGATTGACCGCTTGCTTCACATGGTTGTCGTCGGTGGTGGTCCCACTGGTGTCGAGTTTGCTGGCGAGCTGCGCGATTTCTTCGATGAGGACATCAAGAAGCTGATTCCCGATATTGCCGACCGCTTCAAGGTGACTCTGGTTGAGGCTCTTCCCAACGTCCTGCCCATGTTTAGCAAGCAACTTATCGACTACACTGAGAGCACCTTCAAGGAGGAGCACATTGAGATCAAGACCAAGACCATGGTCAAGAACGTGACTGACAAGTTTATTGAGGCTACTGCTACTACTCCCGACGGCAAGAAGGAAACCATCACCATCCCCTACGGTCTTCTCGTCTGGGCTACCGGTAACGCTCTGCGCCCCATTGTCAAGGATCTCATGACGCAAATCCCCGCCCAGAAGGACTCCCGTCGCGGTTTGGCTGTCAATGAATACCTCGTCGTCCAGGGTACCCGTGATATCTGGGCTGTTGGAGACTGCGCTGTTGCCGGATACGCTCCCACCGCTCAGGTTGCTTCGCAAGAAGGTGCTTTCCTTGCCCGTCTCTTCAATAACATGGCCAAGACCGAGGCTCTTGAGGACAAGATCCGCGACCTAAGCTCCAGCCTGAACCTGAAGCCCGGCAACGCTGCCGAGGTTGCCCAGGAGATTGAGGCTACCGAGCGCCAGATCCGCCGTGTCAAGGACCTTCAGCCTTTCCACTACTCCCACCAGGGTAGCTTGGCATACATTGGTAGCGAAAAGGCAGTCGCCGATATCGCTTGGCTCAACGGCAACTTTGCTTCTGGTGGAAAGATGACGTACCTTTTCTGGCGCAGTGCCTACCTGAGCATGTGCTTCAGCAGTAAGTTCACACGAAACTATTCTAATTGGGAATGACTGATAACTAACGAAATGCCAGCGCGTAACCGAGTTCTTGTTGCTCTTGACTGGGTCAAGGCCAAGGTGTACGGTCGGGATGTTTCCCGTGAGTAAAGAAGCTCACAATAATAGATTCGGATGCGGAGGATGGCTTTCTTTAGTGAAAAGACAATCGGGATGGAAGCCCAAATACAGGTCCCTTAATCCTCTGGGTGTCTTGCTTCCGGGTGTTGGGGGCCAAAACTGTATAGACGATGGGTAACGCTATAGACAGGATACATGAACGAGGGTCGTGCCCAACAGGTGTGCTAGCTCTTAAGCAAGCACAGTCGATGGATTGATTCTCTTTGTTTTGTACAAATACACCACAGACTTTCCAACACTCTTGAGATGCTTATTTTCATGTCTGGCATTGTCGAGTTCGTGTTCGTGTCCTCCGATTCCATGATTTGGCGAGGTAGAGATTGTTTTCTGCCATAACTTACACTGCTTTGAATATTTACATAGCAGGCAGCCGCGGCGAAGCAAGGATACGTCAAAGGGGGCAAGTACGAGGGTCTCATCATGGAAGTTATTCACAATGACCGATCATTCCGGAATCCTTCTCCTCCCCTGGTTGACCCTATTCCCTTTTGATCCGCCTAAACGCACATCATCCTTCACCTGGCGAGTCCCTCTGACGAGATCCTTTCGGTGTGTCTGCATGTCTAAATGGGATCCTTGGAAGGAGTGAGCTCATCATGGTATCTTGGATACATTGCCCATAACGCCAACCCTCCCGATCGAATTCCCCTGATCGCCGGCGACGCCGGTTTTCGTGTCGCAGGTGATTGTAATGAAGTGCAATCACATATAGGCTATATGTACACTTTACTTGAGGGGGTCCAAGTTTTGGCAAAGTAGAGGTCCCTAAAAAGTATAATCCAAACAATCAAGCCAGCCGTAATGGCGAGTTGATATTTGAGACACCATGTATACCCCGTATTACAAATCTGCCGCCGGCACTTGACGTGTAGGCAGTTATGGACTATGTACTGATGCCAAGTTTGATGCGACGGGTTGCCGCGGGTCCCTGAAATATTTTAGATACGACAAGAAGACCAGCTTAATCATTTTTGGGCTTGGCGTCGTTACCCAGATATGGGAGGTCACCTTAAGGGGGCGCAGAAATAACCGTTTCTGCCCAATTTGGGGGCCAAGGTTGGAATAGCTTCAAAAATAAGCGCAGAGTTGCGTTTCACGGACTTTTCGCTCTCGCTTTCTCCCCGAGAGAGAGACTGTCTGCGGTTATCGTTGTATTTGACTCTATCTTGCTTTACCGACCCTATCTGTGGAGTTTGGGGATCATGTGTAAGTTTGTATCCAATCCTATCAGTAGGCGAGACAGCAATATCTCCTGTCAATGAGGCTATACCCATGACTGATCTTCATATGCATGGAAGCACAGCGGACCTTCAGGTCCCTTACTAACCCACCGCAAAGCCCGATGGCGAGTGCCGGCTCCATCATTGCGTGGAGTGCTTTTTGGTCTAACATGCCTAAAACAAATTTCCATTATTGACTTTCTACCATTGTTCTTTTTTTTTTTCCTTTCCCAAAACCCAACAAGACACAACAAGACGACAATGAGCACAGCGCAGCCCCTGGAACCGGTGTAGATCCTCGGGTTTTTATTATTTGTCCTTTCTCATTTAATTATCCGCCAGAAAATGGGCTGAGCTAGCCAGATCGCAGGGCTGACTGGACTGCGGGAAGGGGAAAAATAGTACAGTACGTGGCGGTAAAATAATTTCAGGTACGGGACGGGTATTTTTGCTGATCACTGCTTGAATAACGAGGTTTAAGTTTCGCGATGCTATCACGAACTTGGCCTGGTTCAAAACCACGTACTTCAAAAAAGCGCAGCGGAGGCTTGGAAGCCGCCCTTGACCCCGAGCGGATCCCCCGGAGTGGACGAAATTCCTAACCCCCGTCCCGACTTCTCCATGCCTATACCATTTCAGGCCGAGCGTTCTTTTTTGTCTCTATGGAAAAAGGAGCTCAGATTCCAAATTCTAGATCCAGCACAGGCCAATAATACATGGGGGCCTTTTTTTTCTTTCTTTCTGAGATATGATCTGTGTGTATTTGGGTTTACAAGTCGCCTTTTATTATTGCGGTAATGCTGCGTCCGCCAGTAGAATCCCTCTGATGCCCTGTTTTTCCGCTCTTCGTATTGTTTCGAAGGCTTGTCTCCCAAGCAGGCCAAGAATCGGCACTGTAGGAATACTGGAAGGATGAAATCCAAGCCTACCATGACGGACAGACCGAGGAGGATAACAAACAAGCACGGCAAGTCTGCTACAGATTGAGAAAGAACGGCAAACTGCCGGCCCTATGCCCTACGGTATTAGTCATGACTCAGCGGAAATCTGAGGAAGAAAATCTCTGAGACGAGTGACAGACATGTTTGTCTGTCTTTGAAGCCGACATCCAAGAAGGCGGGAAACTGATGTCGGCTTACAAACCTCATAACCAATGCCGTGCTCCACGCCCAAGACCCTTGGGCGGCTGCCGATTCGTCCATGGAATCAGTTATATGATCTTCAAATCTTTCTCTCATTTTACCCCAGCCTGTCTGCCAGCAAACCAGCCCAAAAGAGCACTAGGCTGAGTTAGCTGGCTAGATTCCCGTTGGGCTTTTTTAGCATGGCCGTTGTCAGGAAGAAAAAAAGACCAGGGTAGGCAATGTAATCGTGGCTGCCAAATGGTACTTTGTCTCTGAAATTATATCGCGAAACTTTAAATCTAACCGCCAAGCAAGTCTTGATCTCTCCCTCCACAATCCGCAGCCCTCCCAAGCGTCCCTTTACAAGATTGAGAGACCAGGAGACCCCGTCCATCTGTCAAAGAAGATTCTCGTCGAGGGTTGAACGCCTCTTGGTGCCCTGTTGATTGATTTTCGTCAATTTCGAACATAGCAAATGCCTGCTCGCGGATGGACACTTTTGACAATGACGAACGAGGATATGTGGGGTATCGGCCGGGTGTCGCTACCTATACGCCATGACAACAAGGAGAGCCTCGTTTCACGACCGTGTTATATAGTTGACCAGTAAACTCTACCGTCCTGCATTCACAGACATCAGACCACGGCAGTCACCAAAATCGACAAAGTCATGACGACAAATCGACTATAATTCAACACTTTGGGAATCAACCAGGTATCATGAGGATATTATATATATAAAGACAACCCACAAGGCTATCAGCAAACGACACTCTTTTCGGACATATACACTCAGAGACACTCTCTTCGAATAATCTTCTCTCTTTCACTTGGAACAAAAAAAAAATCTATATATAAATATTATCAGGTATGGCTCATCGGCTGCCTGCCTCATACTTTGACTGGCCATCGCCAGCCACAGAACCAACAACAAAGGCTTCAAAGCACACTTCCCTCGATCTGTCGGGTAGTGTCTTTCTCATTTCCTCTGCCGGCAATGTTCTACGACTGCCCATCCCGAGCGATTCGCCGCATGATCCTCTTGCCTGGAGCTGGCCTCGGCGGATCGTGGCGTTTTGCTGCTTGCAACTCTTTTCCATTGTTGCCTCTTTTGAAGTCAATATACCAGGGACTCTGATGCCTGCTTTCCACGCCGAGTTCGCCAAGGATGTACGTGACCGTACCATCTTCTTCTTTTCTTCTCTTCCCACAAAATAAAATCATGAGCTAACGGATGTTTTGTCTTTGATCAGGTCCCAGCACCTCTTAGTATTAGTTCATTGTCGTCAGCCCTGACGCTCGGCGTCGGTATAGGCTACCTCGTCAATATTCCCCTCGCCACGGCCATTGGTCGGCGGCCGGTCGTCATCATGTCGGCACTCATTACGGCGATAGCGACGCTCGCAGCTGGACTGGCGGGCAGTTTTTTGCAGTTACTCGTAGCCTTGGCTTTCCAAGGTTTTGCAGTGGGTGGCACTATTGGCATGGTTCGTATATACCTCTCCTCTCCTCTCTGAACACCCCCTCCTTGACTCTTGACTTTGGCTGACATGTTCTGTTCTTCCTTCGCTGTAGTGTCTAGTAATGATCTTGGATGCCACGTTCATCCATGAGAGGCCATATGCCCTGTCACTTTACTGGTCTATTGGCTCGGTGATTATCAAGCTGCTGACCCTACCAATGCCTTACATCACGTCGCTAGCCACAGAATGGCGGACTGTGTACCAGGTCTGGTTCGCCGTCTCGTTGGTCTCGCTCGTCTTCTTGGTCTCTTTCGTTCCCGAGACTTTTTACATTCGGCCCCCTGTGGCCTTTGACGGGCGCGTTCTGGTGCAGAGCAGCACCGAAAAGGTTCGCATCTACGACGAGTGGGACGGGGTACCCGAAGACCAACAAGAAGTCGCCTCCATGTCGGAACAACGAAACAATAAGAGCCAGCCATGGGCCGACCGCTTCAAGGTACTCCGGGCGCAGGGAACCAAGTGGTCGTCGATGAGGACAACGTATGCCCAGATGCCCTTTTGCTTCATCAACCCGCTCATCTTTTGGGTCTCGCTGCTCAATGCCTGCCTGCTCGGCGCCATCATCTTCCTCAACCTCCTCCAGCCCACGGCGCTGCTCGCGAGCGTCGCCGCAGCCCTCGACGGCCCGTCGATCAACCTCAACCTCGGCATCAGCGGAGCCGTCGGCGCCCTGCTGGCGCTGCCCTTTTCGGGCCCGCTCACGGCCTGGCTGACGCGCCACCTCTCGCTGCGCACCGGCGGCGTCCGCCACGCCGAGGTCTACCTCCCCGGGTTCGCCATCCCGACCATCGCGGGCTGCCTGAGCGTGGGCCTGGCGTGCGCGGCCGTGGACCGCAGCTGGCCGGCCGCGTGGCAGTACGCGGCCTCGATGCTGAGCATGATGAGCTACAACACGGGCAACGTGGCCATTGTGCTGTGGATGACCGAGGCGTTCCCGCGCTGGGCGTCGGCCGCCCTGGCCGTTGTGCTCTTCACTGGCAACATGGTGGCCTTTGTCATTGGGCTCACCCTTTCCCCCTGGATTGTGGGCCAGAGCATCATCCCCCAGGGCGCCGTTCTGATAGGACTCATTGCTGGCGTGGGCCTCATTGCCTTGCCCGTCGCCTTTTGGGGAAAGTCGGTACGACAGTACATACAATGCCGCTGGAGTTCCTCCGAGAGTGGTGCACTGCGCCCTCAATAAATAAACCGACCCAAAACTGTATTTTCAAAAATCCCTCTCTCTCTCTCTCTCTCTCTCTTTCTTTCTTTC